TAACTAATACACATATTACTAATATTTGCATAACTCTATCCAGCTACCTAACCCCTAATGAAACTCAAACGTGTAAATAATTTAAACTCGCAATCACAAATTGAGTAGTATGTTAGGACCTTTTTGTCGAAGAATTTGAATAGGTAAAAAAATCATGATTTTTGCGTTGGAACTCCTTTAATATGGACAAAGTGAAACGATTTATTTGTGATATGAATATGAATTAATCAAATACAGTAAAAATATGACAAATTTCAAGCTGAAAGTGACCCAAAACTTCTGTTAATACTATTGACGGTTTCTGAATCCCCGTGGAATATCTGGGAGGAAGTGAAAATGCTAAAAAACAATAATCAATTTTGATCTTAACCATTGTTTAGAAAAAACAAATCAAGCAGCGGACAAATTTACTTCCTTAAGTCACGCTTTTGAGCAACCTCAGACCTTTAGCGTGTTTGCAAATTTGTCCAGAATGATTAAAAACCTCGTGAATATCGACATATTAAGTTTACCATTAATATGCACATCTAATAAAAAACAAAGACAACATCTTTGAGTCTTTTCAGAGGATGAAACTCAGGCTCAAATATATCGATAGAAAAGCTGAGCAGGACTATTTTGAGGTCTCTCACCTCATTTTTTTTAAAGTTACTTAAATTATAAAACTTGTAACGCCCATATTTTTATCACATCACATTTACTTTATCTCTTTTAGCTCCAATAATAGGTCTACCTATTTTATATGCGAGCAAATTGTTGCGGCTTAAATATCAGGTCGTGCAGGAACATACTCTAACAACTAGATAGGTTAATTGTTATCACTCAATTTTAAACTGATAATGCAGCAATAAACAAAATTATATTATAACGCCTTAATTAAATAATAGATTACCCTCATTCTTGATTAAAATAGAATGTTTTTTAAGAATACAATAGAAAAACCTTCCCAAGAAATTTGTCTAAATAGGTACAAGAACATCTACGATAATACAAAATCTGAAAACAAGACACACACCCACTTCACAGAGAAAGAGGTGTAAAATCTTTGAGAGATCCTCGTTTTCACTTAACAAACACAATTGATCCTACAATTAGACTATATCAAGTGAGATAACAAAAAAATATAAGTAGAAATAATATGTACTAGTAAACATCATTAGCAGACCCGAACTCACCACATAATATCATGTAAATAATCAAAAGAATGTATAACTCGAAACTATACAACTTCGATCCTTTAACTACATCCCTTACTATCAAGTGATGCTACCTCCAAATTCATACACTATATCTCAAGCTTTCCTACCTCAATATACTGCAAACTTTACCATTAAGAGTCATTCGATTTTCCTATCCGGTTATAACCTAACCCGTTTACGGTATGCAAACTTTCTGAACTTGCCCATCTAACCAAATACTAGAATTACTTTACTAATTCCCTTTCCGAGTTCAAACTTACCAATTATCGTTGTTAATTAGTTTACCATGTTGCTCCTCAATATATCATTTCATGGGCAAATATTGACAACTTAGACATATAAATATGCCTAAGATCATGTCACCTCTTCTAAGATATCCTACCAACACTCTAGTCCTTGACCCTTAGCCAATGTAGTGGACCGGTTGTAAAACTCTGACTTATGCCCAATTGATTTAAAATTTACATGATTCAACACACTTGTGAAGTAAGACCATCCAATGATACCTATGACATCATTTATGTTGTTTTACATTGAATTTCGATCCACACATGAACTATTTCAGCAAATAAACATCCCAATCCAAACGTTAATAGAAAAAACATGAGACGAATACATTATAATAAATATATAGTGTTCACTCATGCAACTAACACATAGAAAAATAATTAAACATGTACAGGCGTGGCATCGAGTCAACCAATATAAAATATTTACCATTCATAGTATCTAAGCCAACTGCAATCACATGCATCATAAAATCAACCATAATAAATGCACCCACATGTGTAAGACCACAAAATGTTAATACAAGTTCTTTGCATTAGATTAATCATAAAAATATTCTTTTACATTCATCCATTTTTACTTTCTAACCACATAATTGTACAAGCAATATTAAAAAACAATTAACGTTGCCATAGATATAAATAAGGGAATGACGCAGTCATCACCTACCATTACAAGGCTTGAGGTTACTCGATGATTTACAACACTAGAGTAACACTACCACTAGCCGTAAGATTAATATTACCTACTACAATAGTATATCACCATAAATTAGAAAATACTAATCCGTTTAGCCATTCGGACTTTGTGCCAGAAGGCCTAAGTATGAAATCTCCTATCAATCTACACATATTATGTATTAAAACAAGTCTAACTACTCATTTAAGCCTAGCCTATTTGAATACCAAAAAGCTCTTGCAGAATTGTGAATGTGAATTGTTGGCTTCGTGGATGAATCCTGATGCAAGTAGACCTGAAATTCAAGGAGTTTTGCCCCTTTTATGAGAACCTTCCATGTTCATCTTTTTCAAAACTAGAGTAGCATGCAAGGGTCTTTGGAGTAGCGTCGCCTTTTTCAACTAAGAGGATGAGAAAAATTATAAAATTCATGTTTTCTAGTTTCTAGTCTCATCAATCCCACTATAGCGACCCGCTGGCCGTTATAGCATGGTGACATCACTCCATATCAGTCTCAAATTCTAAAATATTCTTCATGGTGACATCAGTCCATATCAGTCTCAAATTCTAAAATATTCTTCACGTCACCCTAAATTAATTTGTCAACATATTTTTTTATAATTTTTTAGATCCCTTAACGAGGTGTCTTTTGAATAACAACAAAACAGATCGTTACAGTAGATATTAATTTATCCATCATTCGTTTTGAATAATTTTTACGATAGAGTTAAAGAGAATTGTAGCTTTACGCAAACCATCGAAACTCCCAATTTTGCATACTCAATTAATCAAAACTTAATTTGATCGCCCCGAGTCCCTACAGGACCTCATTAATAAACAATGTTAGGAAAACTAAATGAACGAGACAAGAAAAGAAATTCGCCTATGGACCTAGATCCTACTATAGCAAGAAAAATTCGTCTAAAGCGACTAACGTCTGCTATATAACAAGTCGGAATCCAAATATAGGGTGAGAAATGAGTTTCTCACTCATTCTTCCCATATTACATTTACAAACATCAGATCCTCTCTCTCGATCCCCTTACTCCCGATGACAAAATTTAAGGTAATGATCATAATACTCACACTTCTTACTTAATTGTATGAATATTATGTTAGAATTTGGGTCAGTAAAATAGATTTTGGATCCATCCATTAGCTTTGAGTAGAAGTGTCAATATGAGTTGACCTATCCCATAAGCACTAACGCATACAAGTTTTGAAGTTTAACGGGCCATGTCGGGGTGGCCCATTCATTTTGTGGTCCAGCAAATGGCTAGCCCAGCCTATAAGTACGTGGGTTGCGGTCTGTGCCGAACCAGTCCAATTTTTTTTAAAAAGTATTTTTATAATTTTTTTAGAATCAAATTATAATTTAAAATTAGAGAAAATACATTTACAAAAATCCGCTGAACAAGGTAGCATAACTTATTTTAGCATTTTAACTATTCGGGTGTTAAATATCTCCCTAAACATATTTCAAGTGAATTTAATTTCACCTGAATATATATTATAATAAATAAAAAAAACCTACATAGCTCTTCCTTTTCTTCTTTGAAGTCACCTACCCTTTTTTAAAATATAATTATTATGCTGATCTGATGTGGTGTTGGTATGGCGCTGATAAGGTGTGTGTAGTGCACTTTCCAGTGTGAGACTGGTTATTATTAGGTGAGATTAAAATTCACTTTAAAGATGTTTGGGGGGTGGGGGTAGGGGTAGGGAGTATGTGTTTTTCTTAAAAATATTATCATAAATATCGACAAGATGATATTATATGGTGTCAGTGTTGCTACTTGTTAATCAAATTCATTAAAAAATTATAGGAAATTTTCATTTTATGTAGTACATATTTAATAAACATAATTTGTATTTAAATATTAATATTTAAAACTTTCAGTTTGAACTCTTGTTATTTTAATAATCTATTTTTTTATTTGATTTACAATTATTTTTAGCTGACCGAGCCTACTCATATTTCTCAAGTCTAACAAATAAGCAGATCCTTTTCAGGTCGAGCTAAAAAATTATTTTCTTAAATGAGCTCCAAAAATCTTAATCTAGCCCTATCACGGTCAGGCTGGTCCAACAGTTGATGACTCTAACTTTAAGGATATACAGAATCTAAAAAATTGATAGTAAAGATACATATGATCTGAAAGTGTAATTCACCACTAGTTACTATAATAAACTTTAATTTTTCTACAATTTTCTATAGTAATTTTTGTTCAAAATCAACACAAATCTCTACCTAATGACTTTAAATTTTGTGGACAAACACCTAAGGATATTTTCGATATATCTAAATAGTAGTCACTCAAAATTTCTCATAAAAACCAAATTCAAACCCACACTTTCAAGTTTTTCTAAAAGATGGGTTAATTTTCTATTAATATGATTTTCACTACCAAAATCTTAAAACCAATACTGCAACCACTATTTGAGCTTGAAATATACTTATTAACCAAGTTTGTCAACTAACAATCAAGAGAGGATTGGGTAGAAGAAGAAAAATGGGAAAAGTGACATAATTTGCAAACTATATACAATATGAGTAAAAGCTAATAATTATGATCCATTTTGATTATAAGCTTGGAGCAGATGAATGAGAGTGTAAGAATAGTAGAGCATGGTTCTTCCTAAGTTCACTCTTTTTTAGGTACTTCAACGTTGCTTCATTGTTCAGATCCATTTATGTTTTTTGCTTCTGTGAACATAGTAGCTAAATAATCTCAACGTGTTATAGTAGACAAGTATTGTATAATTGTTCGATTTTAAACAATTTTCTCCATCTCTTTGTAAATAACACGATATTAGTACAAAGTCGACAACAACTTCAGCATAGAGTAACTAAAATATCACTTTTCTTTAGGTATTGAAGAATGATTTTCTCCCAACTGTCTTTACAAAGCAATCCCTCTGATTTTCGCCGAACTTATAGTCTTTACAAAGCAATCCCTCCCTTCCTAGTTTCAAAAGTGCAAGTGTTAAATCAGTTATCACTCCAATGTATGAATTTGAAAATAGAGAATACTCATTTGGAAATTTCTCTTCCAAAAGATATTTGTCTTACATCTAAGAAGAAAAAAAACTAAACTAGTTGGTTGCTAATACAAAATACAACAAAGATTATATCAACAACTTATGCCACAGGGAGAAGTCCATGGATCATCTTCAATGAATGCCTTGAAAGAGGCAACTCAGTACAAAAATGATATCAACGATCATCTGCTTCATTGGCCCTGCGAATTCAATTCTATGCAACGTGTACAAAGAATTATATTTAGAATGGCATGTTAGTTGTAAAATCTGCAAATATAGAAAAGGAAAGTACTTAGAAGTTAGAATGGAATGTTAGTTTGTAAGGTTTGCAATATGGAGTATCAGTCGCAACGTACTTAAAGTAAAGGATAAGAACAAGATTTCTACCTGTGAAAAGCAAGGATAAAGAATGAGAAGGAAGTTGCCTCAGGTGCAAAGTGGAGAACAAAAGCCTTATCAGTAACAAAAGAAGAAAATGGTGAAACTCTAGCAGATTCATCCAACCATGGACAAAGCTTGGCTGAGAATCATTTGACTTCGAAACTGCACTTAGGCTGCAAGCAGCAGAATGATACCAGAATTTAAAGATATAACATTTCAGAGACAGGCATAAATTGCATAAAAATCATCTATGAGCAGAGGGTTCTATGTAGAGGTCACACATGCTTTGACACCTTATGTACTTTGGCAACCAATATATACAAGTAGTAAATATCAAATAAATGGGATAATGAGATACCTTTCCCAAAAGCTTCAGTAAGATTTTGACATGGTAATGAATTTCAGATACATAAACTCTGTTTGACTTTGTGTCTTAAAACAAAAGCAAGAACATTTACATTCATGTTCGCTCAATCTTTTAATTGTTCGCTATAGTCTGAAGACTGAAGAGCAAGGAGCACATATTTTTTGACTTCAGCTAAAAATCGTGTTCTAACCAACTAACTAACTAGACAAGAGATACCAAAATATCATTGAAGTTCTCGTAAAAGATGAAAGTTAGCTCGATGCACTTATCTTTTAGTTGTCTTATATCCACAAGTTCAAATGTCAGAGGTTCTATACTAAAAATAGTTGGAAGCAGAACTTCATACACGTGATGCATCTCAAGATAAACGATGATGAAACTGGAACAGATCAAAGAAAAAGATATTTCTTTTCCACCTGTTAATTTTGCTTTGAATACGAAATGACGAGGAAAATGCAGCACATCATAATTAATTGAAGGAAAAATAAGCAGAAACACCTTTTCTATGAACATATTTTAATAGCGGAATCTGAATGTGGAATCATTCTACATGAATGGGAGAAGTCCATAAGGATTTCCTAACCGGAACATTATATATATGGCCCTCTCTAATCTAATAAATAGTGAGGTCAAATTGATACTTCCATTCAAGCGTTTTTACATATTAATTCTTTATCCCCTCACCTGCAAACGTTTTAAAAGTAATTCCTTATAGAACCTCTCTTAAACTTTAGTAGAATGAAGGTGAATCAGAATGTTCAGTTAATCACAGAATCTTGTCCCAACCAATAATACACCTGAGTGTTTTTTGGTGTTTTTCTTCTATTAGGATAACTACGGCCTTTCAACCTAACATCCTTGTTTTCTTTCTAAAACATATTGGATTGCTGACTCAACTTGTTCTGGACTGAAGAGTAATCGTGATTTCCACTCTCCTCTAGTAGTTCTTAACTTCTTATGATAGATCTTCTAATTTATTATCCGTTTAACCAAAAATAAATGAATAAAGTGTCCCATACTTATATTTAACCAAGTCTTGAATGCTCCAAAAGCCACAAAACCTGCTTACAAGCTTAAAAAGAATTCAAGAAGTAGTGATAGATACATATCCTACCTATATGAATACTGTCCAAGGCCAACTCAACAAATTAGATATTTGGAACCAAAAAACTTTCTACTGTGTAATTTACAAGGTGTTTCCTCTCTTCATAGAATGTGTCATATCCAGAATAGTTCTATTCCTCAACACCATAAGAAGTGCAGAGTCACCCTACCACAACTAATACAAATATGTAGATATTTTTAAGCAGTCTACTTCATGTTCACTTTTCAGGCCCAAACCATGAAACTAACAATGACTTCCTTCTAAGCATAATTGTTTGCTTTCACTTGAATAATGGATTAAAGAACAAACTGTTGGTGTTTTCCTATTTTATTTTAATACTTTTAAAAAATTCATCTTTCTTGGAAAGTGGTGGTTGGTGGAACCTCCACATAATAGTTTATACTAATTTACAACATATAGTATCCAGAATAAGAAAAATAATTAGTGCACTACTATTCCAACTAATAAAATACAAAGTCTGATCTCATGCCATCCATCATTATAGGTACAAATTGATTTCTTTAAAAGCAGAATCTAAAGATCCCTTTGGATCTTCCCATGATCATGATGTACTACATTCACCCAAAAACATAAACAAGCCAATAAAATGAGAATAAAAAATAAAGCATTATACATAAACATACACTCAAACTTGGCCTCCATTGGCAAAGTAAGCACTCTCAACTTTGAGTGTGCACATCAAAACACCTCAATTTGGTCTCAATTGGCAACTAAACTCTTCAACTTGTCCTCGTTGAGTCTCATGGACACCGACGATGACACATCACATAAATATGGTGTGAGTTGTTTAGATGATCATTTTGTAAGTTAAGTGTTCAACTACGAGACGAGTTGAGGTATCTAGATGTATATATTGGTATTCCATATTTACTTGCAAGCTGAGACCAAGTTTTAATGTTTGTTTATTTATAATGAAAAAAAAAAGTGCTACTTAACACCAACCTCAGATTCCAGGTAACTTCCATTGGCACTAGGCCCACCAACATGTTCATGAGGTCTAATGACTAAAGAATGAAGATCTTCCAAAGACAAAGCTCTCTTCCTTTCTTGAACACAATCTTTAGTCCTATTCTGCATACTGAACAACACATTATGCCAAGTATTAACTCTTGAGCGACCCTTTTTAGGCAGCCCCACATTCATATCTCCCAAATCCTCTGCCGTAACACTCAGAATTTCCTCTGGTTCTGCCCCATCAAACACCCACATCAAGCAAGAGCAAAACCCTTTAGTAATTTCAGAATCACTATCTACACTAAAATTCATAGAACCTCTACTATTCATCCTCACCTCTAACCACACCTGTGTTGTACAACCCAAAACTCGATTTTCTTGAACCCTAGCTGACTCACATAATGGAGGGAGAATACTTGCATAGTGTAACAACCTTTTCACTCTATCAATTGGTTCTGATAAGGACCTAAATTCCAAAGATAAACTACGAACTTTGTCAACAACACTTAACCTCTCATCCAATGGCGCTTCTTCCATAATCAAGCAAGAAACTGATGACAACCCATGTCTTATATTTCTCGAACATCGGATAGAAGTGAAAAAGATTGGATTTTTACTACAAGATTGAGGATTTGGCTTGGTGGGTATCGATGAAATCGTCAAGAAAGAAGATGGGTACTTCATAAAAGTGAGAAAGGTTGGTTTTTGGGGACAGAATTGAGGATTTAACTTAGTGGGTGTACATGAAATTGTGAATGGGAAATTGAGATTAGAAGAAGAGTCCATGTTTGGTTAAAGATGAAGAAAATTGGAGAGAAAAAAAAGGGTAAAGAATTGAAATACAAGATTTTTGTGACAGTTAGAAGTTGGAGAATCAGAGATAAAAACGAGAAGTAGATCCTTCAACTGCGGGAGATTTCATTTCAGGTAGAAAAAGTATAAAAGAAAAAATGTAAAAAAAAAATGATGAAGAAGAAGAGAAATAGGGTGCAATGGCATTTTATAGTTTTATAATCCCAAGGTGGTTGGAGATTTCATTCCAAGAAAATAAAATATACAAAATATAAATAAGGCGCCAAAAGTGGAAATATATTTTTATGTGGCACTCTCCAATCTCATTTTTGAGTTTTTTAATTTCAATTTCTTAAGTTTTTTTAACTTCAATTTGGTATTATATTAGTAAAAGTTAATACTTATAATTGAGGTCTATTATTATAATCTGAACTTAAAATCAAGGATTGAGATATAGTAGCCTAATAGTTTTTGCTTGAAATACTTCTTCGATTTATATAATATTTTTTAGTCATTTTTAAAAAAATATATATATTTCGTAAATATTTAATAACATTTTCAACATTTTATCTACGTTGAGTTTCATTTATTTGACAAAACATGCACAAGAAATGTACTTCCATATTTAAAACCTCATTTATTTTAAAAATAAAGATAGTTATAATATATTGAAAAATCTTCTCATATATTTCTTAAAATTTGGGTTCAATCCAACTATAACACGGTTGTTAAAATGGTTTTCCAATCACAAAACTTCAAAAAAGAAAGATAAAAGATCTACGTACATCTTATGTTTTTGACTAAAATACTTGTTTTTTTCCTAACTTTAACCAAATATTCCCAAAAGTCTAGCACCTAAAAATTGAATAAAATAATTGAAAAGATGTTACAATTTAGCAAGAAATCTTATTGCCAATGCAACACGTACAAAAAGCAAGTGAATAACAATTGATGGACAAAATGACATTATACAATCCGTGTGAGCAAACAAGATTGATTATTAGCAAAATTAACTTCTGAATTCTCCAAGAATCTTACAAGATTTAGAAAGTGCTTTAAATTATTAATATGAACCAATAAAAAGAGTAACAAGTCTATATTGAGTTTGAGGAGTTTTCTTTTGCTTCAAAACAAAGCTAAGATTTACTCTACAATCCTCTAGACACATCAATATATAGTTCCTCAAATTAATTAGGCTTCTTATGTATTATTCCACCTACACACATCACACATATGATTCAAAATGTCAAGTTTGTGTCTGCAAAAGTAGAGGATCATAACAATGATAGCAACTTTAAATTTTTCTTAAGCTGAATTTCTCTCTTACTAGTCTTGTCTCAAAAAATGTCATTCAACCCTATAGATCTCTATAGGATTGCTTTGACAAATTACTCTTATTACGTGTCCCAACTAGAGTTGTTCATGGTTGTGGTTAACAACCAAATCAAATCGTAATTCGAATCAAATCGATTAAAAAAATTGATATCTGATTTAGTTTGGTTAGGTTTGGTTTTTAAATTTTGAAAATCGATATTATTTGGTTTGGGTTTGATTTTACTAAAAAATAACCGCAAAAATAATCAAACCGAACCGATAAATTAGATATATAAATTTTATAATTATTTATATATATTATTCATAAATAAATTAAAAATATTTTGTTAAATTTTAATTAACTTAAGATTTTAACTTAACCATTTTTTCAAGTCTAACATTTCGGCCAAGGTATAACAATCTCAAATTCAAGTCCATCAAAATCCATTTTAGTCTTTACTTACTGTATTTCACATAAAATAGTCACATTTTATATTAAATAAATCACTTTGTTCGTGTAATGATAACTCTAATATTGCTTAATTGCTTGACTGAACCGACATTAGTTTTTCTGTAGATTGTTCATGTACTTGGTATTTGTGTCTATCGTACGTACGTTCTCAAAAAAATTATTACTTTCAAATCGAATAAACCAGAAAAACTGAACCAAACCGACAATAATCAAAATTGATGGTTATTTTTTTCGTTTGGTTGGTTTGATTTTAGAAATTTAAAAACTCGACTAAATTGATTTGGTTTTGATTTTAATCAATATCCGATCCAAACTAAACAACGAACACCCCTAGACCCAACATCATCCATCCACTTATTTCAAACTATTTTCTTTAATATATATAACGAAAATACGATACTTTATTAGTCGAGGCAAAAAATGTATGTTTAACATACCAATAAATTTAAATTAAGACTTTAGAATCATGTTGCTCAAATAACAAATTAAAGAACTCTAGTATTGGAGTGTACCTTAAAAAAGTGATACTATAAGAGAAATCAAATAAAATGAAACAAATTCATATAGTCAAAATACATCCTTTCAGAGTTTGGAACTAATGTGTAGCTAATATGTGTGTTTTTTAAAAACAAAAATAAATAATTTCAATAGTATTATGTAATTAAAAAAAATAGTTCCTAGCGAAACATAAAAGAAGGTAGGAATTAAGGTGATTATTTGATCGGTAAAATAAGAATAATAATTTTGTCACTAATCAAACAATACAGTAATTTATAGTTTGACTAAATACAAAATATTATCAACCCATAAATAAAACCTTTTTTATACCTTCACTGAATTATACTAAACTTTATTATAAAAATTTGAGTTTGGTCAAGTAATGATATCTTTTCCCACTTAAAAAAGAAAGTTTAGAATATCCCAAAATTGTTTTTGCCCTTCAATTCATCAAATCATATTCAAACTTTTTGGTCCCTTTGGATATTGTGGGGATTACGTCATTGCATACAATTTCATGTGGACCCTCCAAACTATTTTTCTAACAAATAAAGTATATATTGCACTAATAATACAAATTAGAGTTCTTACTTCATGCATCAGCCCCTCATATTATCAATCAAAGACATTGTTTATATCATGAGTCAATTCATCAAGAATAATGATAAATAATGGTCTCATATTATGTCCTTAAAAAAATTCAAAATTTTTAAAGTTGGAGGTAGGGGAAGGGAAAATTAAAAAAGAATTAATGAATCTACTAAGATAAGCGTTACAATTATTAAAAAAACTAAACTTTTGGATGAGTAAAACAAATAAAAAGCTTTCTAATTTATATTAACTATACTTTTCAAATACTAGAGTTTAGTTTTATATTTTATAAGATTAGAAATAAAATAAAAGGTTAAAATACAGAGTAAAAGATTAGTACTCATCAAAATATTAAGATTTGTAATTATGATTTTTGTGTTAGGAGGACGAAAACTTTGGTGAAATACAGACAATATTTGCCTGAAAATGAAAAAAAAAATTACTTGAAAATTGAATTTTAAAAATAATTTATGTCTTGTAATTTTCAAATCAATGAACTGACAGACAGAGAGGGTACCAACTTGTACAAGATCTAGTCTAATAAATCCACATTTTGTTAGATTTAACTTTTTAGCATGGAAACAAAATGTCCTATCAGTGAATAAATTAATCTACTAATGTCAACAATCTCCTTTTTTATAGATTTAACTTATATCTTTAACAAAATCTTTGAATACCTCCCTATTTCAATTTACCACTACCTCGTACCTCCCTATTTCAATTTACCACTACCTCGTGGAGATTCTATTTCCAAAAGATCATCCGAGTGCAACAAATTCCGATATAAAAAGGAAGGAGACGATGAGGAGTCCCCCATCCCAACTTTCAACGATATGATAGTTTAACAAGAATGATAAGACACAAGGATAGTGGTATTTCATTTCATCATTTAAGGATTCAACAGAAGTTGTACAAAAGATGAATATACAATGTGGTTGATGTATAACATCCTTTGTTACATTCAACATTATGTGCAGTTCAACACAAACAATGCACATCCGTGAGCGTTTACTGACATAGATATCGAGTCCTTTATGGCTCCAAGATTTGTGCCACTCCACACTTCTCTACCTGAGCACTTTGAACTTGTAGCATGAATTGCGTTCGTTATGTCTGATAGCTTCGCTGACATTTTTGTCACCTGGTTGTTCAAATTGAAGAAAGCCAAGTAGATCTCTCCTGAAAATGTATCAAACAGCATACTGATATCAGATCGCAATAATCTAACAACGGTTAAAGTCCGCGCACCAACAGTGTGCTGAAGTCTTTTTACATGTAACTATTCATAGCGAGTCTAATACGGTTAACTGAGAAATAGCCTGCTATCATTGGTTTAACTGCACAGATAATGTAAAAACTCTTTATATTGTCTTAACTATTCATAGCATTCCCAATATGGTAACCTGAGAAATAGCTTGCTATTACTGGTTCAACTGCACAGATAATGTAAATTCAACTTAAAACCATCTAATAATTGATCTGCAAACTGTACTCGCAGGCGCTGATGTGCTTACTGCATATATGCAATGATCTATAATACATGTAGGATTACAGTGGACTCACTTAGCTTCCATTTTATAGTTTTAGGAATTGCTCAATGCCAAGGAACCACATACCGTAGACCAAATTTCTAGACAATTAGCTCGTATCTTTATAACGCACGACATTGGTCTTATTTCAAATTTTCTTACTCCCTCGGTGCCTGATATTTCAATCTTAGAAATTTGTGTAAGTTACAAGCATTAAAGCTTACTTGCATCTCCTTAACTTTAGGCTAATTACTGTAAACTTCCTTAACTATATCCCGTTATTCAGACTCGCAAAAACTTACAAAAAAGCATGTATATATTTCAGTATCATCCATTAAAGACATTCCCCTTTAGAGTTAGTGATATCTGTTGTCTCTCTATGGAATAAATTTTTCATTTGAGAAACCATACCTCTCCTTCCAGTTGCAAGCCAGGACCTGATTCCACCAGAAGAAGCTGCAAGAAAAAAGAATCAGTACATAGTGTTAGGTATCAATCTCTAGTTTAACAAAAATCAGTGCAGTGTAGGCAAGTTTTCCAGATTAAAAAAAATAACCTCTGACAAAATCCATGATAGCACAAAAACCGGAATAACTATTCATGAGGGTTCCATTGTAGTTCTCCCACATCTGTTATGAAAAAATCAGCAGCAAATTTAGATGAAACTACAAGAGTCTTCATTTATTCAAAGAAAGCACAGAACTACTTATGGCATGAACTGCTGCGAATAGCATAGGCCATACTTCTCAAAATTCAAACTGAATTACCTGGTTGGCATGAGATCTGCACCGTGAAAATGAACCTCTGCTGATCTCGTTAGCTGCAAGCTTTCTATTTGAAGATGCACCAAAACAAAGTTCTGTTCTCTCTGTTACGAATAAGTGAAGTCTCCCGAGATTTTGGTGCTGATAT